AGTTTTACCAACACAAAAAACCCCTTCTCACGGTTACCGTATGAAAACAACCCACGGCTTGTTGCATCCAAGTCCACTACGAAGGAAACTCCTGCCGAAATTTCTATGTACACTTGAGTCGAATGCAATCAACTTCCGCGGAATAACCATGCAATACCCATTCTACAAACAAGTAGTATGAATTCTATATGACAAAGATATTATACCGTAACCTGACATAGGTAAAAATCCAGACACTTTTTTCGCCGATGTCTCTGCTGCTGCGTGATACAGCAACGAGGGTTCAACTATCATCAGGTGCCCCAGCGTTCCCTATGCGGTTTCTGGTATATGACTCCCAGATAATAATCATGTATACATACATACCAAGTGAAACCGGCAAAGACAAAGGAGACCGGAATGGCCATTTCTGGCTTGTTAGCCGTCATCAGCCAGTCATACTCAATCTCAGGTGGGGAGACCGGAATGGCCATTTCTGGCTTATTAGCCGTCATCAGCCAGTCATTGAGACCGGAATGGCCATTTCTGTCTTATTAGCCGTCATCAGCCAGTCATACCAAGACCGGAATGGCCATTTCCGGCTTATTAGCCGTCATCAGCCAGTCATACCCGATCACAAGAGTGCCAACCCCAGAGATTCAAACCCGCAACCTACTGGTCATGGAGTGTAACACTCTACCATTGAGTGAAAATGTGCTCGATCTACCGTAGCTATTATTAGTTGGCGGAATTGGGCCATTTGCTGAGCCGGCGTCTAGGCGGACGGACGCAAACGGACGCAAGTATAAAAGTCGTAACGAACCCATGGACCCCGCAGACAATGAAGAACAGGGCATGTCACGCGAAGGTCCGCCTAGATAGTTAAACGGCAACTAACTGGACTGGACCAACTCGGCACACAGCAGGATTGCCCAAGTCTGCATTCCCTTATAATAGAGTCGAGTGCGACGGCAAAACTCCGAATACTGCACCCATTTGCAACTTTTTAGACCCATTTTAGACTGCACCCTTCTTTTAGAGGTCAAAACTGCCCAAGCCAAGATATACAAAGCACAGAAAGGAAAATAAAATAACCTTATCAGTGATATCAATTGCGAAGCGGAGACGATGACCAAAATGCTGCGCCTCGCCGCAATGAAAGATTGGATCGGGAAGGGGGACGTTGCGACGAGCAACGCGGACGGAGAGACAGCGTGGTAGCACTTCCGGGGCCAAAACGCGAGAGGGGTTGGATTTGTCACGCGGCATGTACAGTCCGGTCGTGGCCCAGGCCAGCCGAAGGATGACACGGTACTTGTCAGCGCTGCTGTAGTAGAGGCAATGCATACATACGCAGAAGACAATGGGTGTAACTCTCAGAAGAAAGCCATACCACTCTGAAGTTTAATGCCAATGATAATTATTACTAGCTGAATAGAAGATCCTAGTTAAATAAGGCCTAATTAAAAGTAGTTTTAGAAAACCGTCCTTTAAAGGAATGTCGAGAAACCGCGATTTCGTCGGGTACACGAGGCTGCGGCTGCAAGGAAAACGGAATTCGACAGAGTTTGAGAGACTTGATATTTAAAATTAGAGGTCCAATCTAAATGGCCCAACTAGCAGTAAAACTTGTCGGAGGAAATCTTCATTTAAGGGAACGTCGAGAAAACGAGCTTTCATCTTGTATATGATGGCTAATAATACAATTTAATGGGATGCAAACGCCGTTTAGAATTATTTGATTGGACAAGTAAGGGAGGTGCCTATAGTAGAAACGTTAAACGCGACGAGTGACCGAGCTCATTAAATGTCAATTAACGGTAGATTTCATCGGGAATCCTCATGGCTGATTATGACACAATATGGCGCACCATCAAAAATCATCGCCATGAACAATGTCTGTTACTGCTCCACGACTACGGCAGTTCTGGTCCATAAAAATCTGTTTCTCAGTCCGCTGGTATTAGGTCTGGCAGTCGAAAAGGTTATTTCCTGTCACGCATTCTGTTCAACTACGTTATTGCCTGCATTTTCGGAAATGCCCTCCAGGAAGAAAATCGTTTTGAGTTTGCACCTGGACATTAGCTCACCGATACGGGCTACGCCGATGATATCGCTTTACTGGCTTCAAGTTTTGATAATCTGCAGTTTGTGGTGTGACGGGTGAAAGAGTTCACCAAATATGGCAATTTATTCATAAACGCTGGGAAGATCAGAGTGTTTTCGAGTTGCATCCCTGACTATAAGAAGGTACACCGCGAGATTG